GCCGCCGCCGCTCCCGCGGAGCCCCCGGGGCCGGCGGCGGGCGCGGGGGTCCCGGGGGGGCTCCTGGCGCTGCCCCCGGAGCTGCTGCTGCGGATCTGCGGCTTCCTGCGGGCCCGGGACGTGCGGCGGGTGCTGCCCCGCGTCTGCCGCGCCCTGCGGGAGCTGGCCCGGGACGCGGTGCTCTGGAGGCTGCGGCTGCAGCGCCGCGCCCGCCGCCCCCTGCCCGTGCTGCCAGGTGGGTCTGGGGGCGCCGCGACCCCCCCGGCGGCGGTGAGACCCCCCCCGGGACCCCTCCCTGACCCCAGTGCGCTCGGCCGCTGGGAGCCCTTTGGGTCCCCCCCGTGGTTTTGGGGGTCCCACCCCTGGTTTTGCGGCTGCAGCGCCGCGCCCGCCGCCCCCTGCCCGTGCTGCCAGGTGGGTCTGGGGGCGCCGCGACCCCCCCGGCGGCGGTGAGACCCCCCCCGGGACCCCTCCCTGACCCCAGTGCGCTCGGCCGCTGGGAGCCCTTTGGGTCCCCCCCTGGTTTTGGGGGTCTCTCCATGCTTCTGAGACCCCCCCCCGCCCGCGATTTTGGGGGTCCCTTTCCATGCCTTTGGGTCCCCCCCCCCGGTGGTTTCGGGGGTCCCTCTCTGTGGTTTTGAGGGTCCCCCCCCCGTGGTTTTAGGGGTCCCTTTCCACGATTTTGGGGTTCCCCCCCGTGGTTTGGGTCCCCCACCCCGTGGTTTTGGGGGTCCCCCCCATGGTTTTGAGTCCTCCCCATGGTTTTTGGGGGTCTCCCCCGTATTTTGAGGGTCCTCCCCCGTGGTTTTGGGGGTCCCCCCCATGGTTTTGGGTCCCCCCAGTGGTTTTGGGGGTCCCTCCATGATTCTGGGACCCTTCCCCGTGATTTTGGGGGTCCCTTTCCACGATTTTGGGGGTCCCCCCATTGGTTTTGGGTCCCCCACCCATGATTTTGGGTCCCCCCGTGGTTTTTGGGGTCTCCCCTGTACTTTGAGGGCCCCCCCCCCGTGGTTTTAGGGGTCCCTTTCCACAATTTTGGGGGTCCCCCCCATGGTTTTGGGTCCCCCCCCCCCCTTGGTTTTGGGGGACAGATGGCTCTGCGTGGGTGGGGAGGGGTCTCTGGGGGGGGGTCCCGCTGAGCCCCCTCCCCTTCCCCAGGGAGAAGGCGGCCGTGCTGTGCCTCTCGTACCGCCCCGACGTCCTCGTCACCGGCACCTACGACAAGACGGTGACCGTGTACGACCCGCGAGGTACCGGAATGAGGGGGGGTCTGGGCAGCGTCGGGGGGGTTTGGGGATCCCCCTGACCCCTCCCCGCGCCCCCTCCCCAGCCGGGCAGGCGCAGGTGAGCAGCTACAAGCCCCACGCCAGCGCGGTGCTGTCGCTGGCGGCCGACGAGCGGCTGATCGTGTCGGGCAGCGAGGACCGGACCCTGGTGGTGTTCGACCGCCGCGCCGGCTCCGTGCTGCAGCGCCTGCAGGTGGGGGCTGGGACACGCACCCCCCACCCCCCGGAGGGCCCCCTGAGGCGACATTCGGGCTGTGTCTTCCTCCTCCTCCTCCTCCTCCTCCTCAGCTGGACAATTACCTGCTCTCCATGTCCTACCGGGGCTCGCAGCTCTGGGCTGGGGACAACCAGGGCCGGGTGTACCTGTTCGGCAGCAGCGGCGGCGGCTTCCAGCCCGCCCGGGTAGGGGTCGCGGGGGGTTCCGGGGGGTCTCGGGGGGCAGGACCCCCCCCCTCCCGGGGCTCACCAGGGGTTTCTGTCCCCCCTTTCCCTGCAGTATTTCGACGTGGGGCACCGGCTGCAGATCACGGGGCTCTGGCACTCGCTGGGCTCGCTCTACACCACGTCCACCGACAGGACGCTGCGGGTGGGGGTCCCGCGGGGCTGGGCTGGGGGGGGTCCCCGGGGGGTTCCTGCTGACCCCCAGCTCTGCCTGTCCTGCAGATCCACGTGCCCACAGATCCGCCCCGCACCATCTGCTCCTGGACGCACGACGACGTCCTCAACGGGGTGAGGAGCTGTCCCCAGCCCTTGCACACGCGTGTGCACGCGCAGCCCCCTCCCCGGGGTGCCCCCCCAGCCCCCCCTGGCCCTCCTCTGCCTCCCCCAGATCAGCGTGGATGGGGACGTGGTGGCCGCGGCCTCGGGGGGACTCTCGGTCGAGGTGTGGAGGCTCCGGACCTGACGCCGGCGGGCTCGGGGGGCTCCGGCCGCGCCCCGCGGGGTCCCCCCAGCGCCCCCCACTCAGGGGGGGCCGGGCCCGGATCCGGGACGTGGGTGGGGCTGGAAGCTGCCGCCTGTTGATGGCTATTAAAGGATTGGACTGGAGCGGAGCTTGTGTCCCCCCGCGGGTTTGGGGCGAATCTGGGGGGTTTGGGGTGAATTTGGGGGGTTTGGGGCGCTGCGGCCTTTTCAGGGCTCCCTCGGTGCAACGGCGCCTTTTCGCGTCCTCGACTTTCTCGTCCCTCCACGGCCACCGTCACGCCAAGATGGCGCCGCGCGGCTGTACGGAAAAGCGGGACGGGAGCGCCGAGCAAGATGGCGGCGCGCAGCCTTACGGCGGGGAGAACGCGCAGCCGTACGGCGCGGGGGGCTTTGCCCAAGATGGCGGCGCCCTGAGCGGCACGGCCGAGCCATGGCGGCCCCGGGAGAGGCGCCGGGAGAGGCGCTCCGGGCCGTGCTCCGGCCCAGCGCGGCCCTCCCGGCCGAGGCCCTCCCGGTGCGCGGGTACGACTTCTCGGGCGGCGCGGACCACGCGGCGCTGCTCCGCTCCTTCCGCACCACCGGCTTCCAGGCCACGAGCTTCGCGCAGGCCGTGGCGGAGATCGAGCGGATGGTGAGGCCCCGGGGGCGGGGGGTGGCACCGGCAGGGTGAGGGGGTGTCCGGGCCCGGTGTGAGCCCTCCCCCGGTGTCCCCTCCCGCAGATCGCGGCCAAGCTGGAGCCGCTGAGCGCGGAGCAGCGGGAGAGAGCGGCCATGGCCGGGCCGCGGCCGCCCTCGGGCTGCACCATCTTCCTGGGCTTCACCTCCAACCTCGTCAGCTCCGGCGTGAGGGAGAGCATCCGCTACCTCGTGCAGCACGGCATGGTGACAGGGGACAGGGGGACACGAGGACACGGGGACGGGGACAGGGACACCGGGACAGGGACAGGGAGAGCATCCGCTACCTCGTGCAGCACGGCATGGTGACAGGGGACGGGGACAGGGGACAGGGACACGGGACAGGGACAGGGACAGGGCTAGCATCCGCTACCTCGTGCAGCACGGCATGGTGACAGGGGACAGGGGGACACGAGGACACGGGGACGGGGACAGGGACACCGGGACAGGGACAGGGAGAGCATCCGCTACCTCGTGCAGCACAGCATGGTGACAGGGGACAGGGACAGGGGGACACGGGGACAGGGACACGGGACAGGGACAGGGGACAGGGACACGGGGACAGGGGACAGGGAGAGCATCTGCTACCTCGTGCAGCACGGCACGGTGACAGGGGACAGGGACACGGGGACCGGGGGACAGGGACAGGGACACTGGGACAAGGACAGGGACAGGGACACGGGGATAGGGAGAGCATCCGCTACCTCGTGCAGCACAGCATGGTGACAGGGGACAGGGACAGGGGGACACGGGGACAGGGACACGGGACAGGGACAGGGGACAGGGACACGGGGACAGGGGACAGGGAGAGCATCTGCTACCTCGTGCAGCACGGCATGGTGACAGGGGACAGGGACACGGGGACAGGGGGACAGGGACAGGGACACTGGGACAAGGACAGGGACAGGGACACGGGGATAGGGAGAGCATCCGCTACCTCGTGCAGCACGGCATGGTGACAGGGGACACGGGACAGGGGACAGGGACAGGGACACGGGGACAGGGACGGGGGCAGGGACACGGGGGCAGGGACAGGGACACGGGGAACAGGGAGAGCATCCACTATCTCGTGCAGCATGGCATGGTGACAGCATGGAGACAGGGACACGGGGACAGGGCACAGCGTGGGGACACCTGTGAATGGCACGGGGCTGGGTGGGGACAGTGACAATGGCAGTCACTCTGTCCTGCTGGCCCCATGGCCAGGAGGTCCTTGGGGTGTCCCCAGGTCCCTGTGAGGTTCAGGGAGTCACTCCCGGTGTCCCTGAGGTGACCCTGCCCTGGGCAGGGGGGGTCACTCCCGGTGTCCCTGAGGTGACCCCACCTGGACAGGGGGTCACAGGGTCACTCCCGGTGTCCGTGAGGTGACCCCACCTGGACAGGGGGTCACTCCCGGTGTCCCTGAGGTGACCCCACCTGGACAGGGGGTCACAGGGTCACTCCCGGTGTCCGTGAGGACCCCACCTGGACAGGGGGGGTCACTCCCGGTGTCCCTGAGGTGACCCTGTCCTGGACAGGGGGTCACAGGGTCACTCCTGGTGTCCCTGAGGTGACCCCACCTGGACAGGGGGTCACTCCCGGTGTCCCTGAGGTGACCCCACCTGGACAGGGGGTCACTCCCGGTGTCCCTGAGGTGACCCCACCTGGACAGGGGGTCACTCCCGGTGTCCCTGAGGTGACCCCACCTGGACAGGGGGTCACTCCCGGTGTCCCTGAGGTGACCCCACCTGGACAGGGGGTCACTCCCGGTGTCCCTGAGGTGACCCCACCTGGACAGGGGGTCACTCCCGGTGTCCCTGAGGTGACCCCACCTGGACAGGGGGTCACTCCCGGTGTCCCTGAGGTGACCCCACCTGGACAGGGGGTCACTCCCGGTGTCCCTGAGGTGACCCCACCTGGACAGGGGGTCACTCCCGGTGTCCCTGAGGTGACCCCACCTGGACAGGGGGTCACTCCCGGTGTCCCTGAGGTGACCCCACCTGGACAGGGGGTCACTCCCGGTGTCCCTGAGGTGACCCCACCTGGACAGGGGGTCACTCCCGGTGTCCCTGAGGTGACCCCACCTGGACAGGGGGTCACTCCCGGTGTCCCTGAGGTGACCCCACCTGGACAGGGGGTCACTCCCGGTGTCCCTGAGGTGACCCCACCTGGACAGGGGGTCACTCCCGGTGTCCCTGAGGTGACCCCACCTGGACAGGGGGTCACTCCCGGTGTCCCTGAGGTGACCCCACCTGGACAGGGGGTCACTCCCGGTGTCCCTGAGGTGACCCCACCTGGACAGGGGGTCACTCCCGGTGTCCCTGAGGTGACCCCACCTGGACAGGGGGTCACTCCCGGTGTCCCTGAGGTGACCCCACCTGGACAGGGGGTCACTCCCGGTGTCCCTGAGGTGACCCCACCTGGACAGGGGGTCACTCCCGGTGTCCCTGAGGTGACCCCACCTGGACAGGGGGTCACTCCCGGTGTCCCTGAGGTGACCCCACCTGGACAGGGGGTCACTCCCGGTGTCCCTGAGGTGACCCCACCTGGACAGGGGGTCACTCCCGGTGTCCCTGAGGTGACCCCACCTGGACAGGGGGTCACTCCCGGTGTCCCTGAGGTGACCCCACCTGGACAGGGGGTCACTCCCGGTGTCCCTGAGGTGACCCCACCTGGACAGGGGGTCACTCCCGGTGTCCCTGAGGTGACCCCACCTGGACAGGGGGTCACTCCCGGTGTCCCTGAGGTGACCCCACCTGGACAGGGGGTCACTCCCGGTGTCCCTGAGGTGACCCCACCTGGACAGGGGGTCACTCCCGGTGTCCCTGAGGTGACCCCACCTGGACAGGGGGTCACTCCCGGTGTCCCTGAGGTGACCCCACCTGGACAGGGGGTCACTCCCGGTGTCCCTGAGGTGACCCCACCTGGACAGGGGGTCACTCCCGGTGTCCCTGAGGTGACCCCACCTGGACAGGGGGTCACTCCCGGTGTCCCTGAGGTGACCCCACCTGGACAGGGGGTCACTCCCGGTGTCCCTGAGGTGACCCCACCTGGACAGGGGGTCACTCCCGGTGTCCCTGAGGTGACCCCACCTGGACAGGGGGTCACTCCCGGTGTCCCTGAGGTGACCCCACCTGGACAGGGGGTCACTCCCGGTGTCCCTGAGGTGACCCCACCTGGACAGGGGGTCACTCCCGGTGTCCCTGAGGTGACCCCACCTGGACAGGGGGTCACTCCCGGTGTCCCTGAGGTGACCCCACCTGGACAGGGGGTCACTCCCGGTGTCCCTGAGGTGACCCCACCTGGACAGGGGGTCACTCCCGGTGTCCCTGAGGTGACCCCACCTGGACAGGGGGTCACAGGGTCACTCCCGGTGTCCGTGAGGTGACCCCACCTGGACAGGGGGTCACTCCCGGTGTCCCTGAGGTGACCCCACCTGGACAGGGGGTCACAGGGTCACTCCCGGTGTCCGTGAGGTGACCCCACCTGGACAGGGGGTCACTCCCGGTGTCCCTGAGGTGACCCCACCTGGACAGGGGGTCACTCCCGGTGTCCCTGAGGTGACCCCACCTGGACAGGGGGGGTCACTCCCGGTGTCCCTGAGGTGCTGACCCCCCCGGCAGGTGGACGTGCTGGTGACCACGGCCGGGGGGGTCGAGGAGGACCTGATCAAGTGCCTGGCGCCCACCTACATCGGGGACTTCCAGCTGCGGGGCCGGGACCTGCGGGAGAACGGCATCAACAGGTCCGGGGGGGGGGGGCCGGGGGGGGGGGGGGACCCGGGGGGAACCNGTCCCTCAGACCCCAATGATGTTTGGGTGGGGTCACACCAGGGCTGAGAGGGACAGAGACCCCCCCGGCCTCCCCAGGGATGAGAAGGTGGGAGAGCCGCCCCCCCCCAGTCCCGAGCACCCTCAGCGGTGAGAGGGACACAGAGCCCCTGGTCCCCAGCCCTGCACAGGCATTCCCTGAGGCCAGAGGGATCGAGACCCCCTGAGCATCCCCTAGGGTGAGGGGACAGAGACCCCCAAGCATCCCCTGGGCTGAGAGGGACAGAGACTGCCCCGAGCACCCCCTTGGCAGGGGGGTGAGAGGGAGGGAGACCTCCAGGCATTCCCTGGAGTGAGAATGATGGAGACCCCCCCGGGGGGAGGGGGCCGGGGGGGGGGGGGGCGGGGGGGCCTGGGGACCCCCTGGGGACACCTCGGGGACACCTCGGGGTCACTCTGGGGTCCCTCAGGATCGGGAACCTGCTGGTGCCCAACGATAACTACTGCAAGTTCGAGGACTGGCTGATGCCCATCCTGGAGAGGATGGTGGACGAGCAGGACACGCAGGTGAGGGGGGGGGACCCCAACCCGGGACCCCAGAGTGCTGGGAGGGGGTCCCTGCACACCTGGGATGGGGTTTGGGGGTGGGTACTGCACACCTGGGGTGGGGTTTGGGGTTCCCTGCACACCTGAGGTGACCTGGGGTGGGGTTTGGGGGTCCCTGCACACCTGGGGTGGGGTTTGGGGGTGTCCCTGCACACCTGGGGTGGGGTTTGGGGGTCCCTGCACACCTGGGGCAGGGTTTGGGGGTCCCTGCACACCTGGGGTGACCTGGGGTGGGGGTTTTGGGGATCCCTGCACACCTGGGGTGGGGGTTTGGGGGTCCCTGCACACCTGGGGTGGGGTTTGGGGGTGTCCCTGCACACCTGGCCCCCCCGTTCCTGACGGGTCCCCCCAGGGCGTGCGGTGGACGCCGTCCCGGATGATCGCCCGGCTGGGCAAGGAGATCAACAACCCCGAGTCCATCTGTTACTGGGCCCAGAAGGTACCGGGGGCAGCGGGAGGGGGCACCTTGGGGTGTCACCGTGGGTGTCACCGTGGGTGCCACCGTGGGTGCCACCGGCTGTCACCGCGTCCCCCCGCCCCGCAGAACAACATCCCGGTGCTGAGCCCCGCGCTCACCGACGGCTCCCTGGGGGACATGATCTTCTTCCACTCCTACAAACGCCCGGGGCTCGTGCTGGACATCGTGGAGGGTGAGCCTGGGGTGCCCCCCGGGGCGCCCCCCGGGATTCGGGGTGCCCTGAGGTGACCCCCTCCCCGTGCCCGCAGATCTGCGCCTCATCAACACCCAGGCCATCTTCGCCCACAAGACCGGCATGATCATCCTGGGCGGGGGCCTGGTCAAGCACCACATCGCCAACGCCAACCTCATGGTGAGGGACCCCCGCGCTGGGGAGGGGGCTTGGGGACCCCCCCCCCGAGGCGGGGAGGGGCTGGGGGCTCACCCCGGCGCGTGCCCCCGCAGAGGAACGGCGCCGATTTCTCCGTCTACGTCAACACGGCGCAGGAGTTCGACGGCTCCGACTCGGGCGCGCGGCCGGACGAGGCCGTGTCCTGGGGCAAGATCCGCGTGGACGCCACCCCCGTCAAGGTGGGGGGGCTCGGGGGGGATTTGGGGACCCCCGGAGTGGGGGTTTTTCCCGCTGACCCCGCTGCTCTGGGCCAGGTCTACGCCGACGCCTCGCTCGTGTTCCCGCTGCTCGTGGCCGAGACGTTCGCCCGGAGCGCAGACGCCTTCGCGGTGCCCGCGGGGACCCCCGAGGCATGAGGGACCCCCGAGGCCTGAGGGACCCCCGAGGCATCCCGGAGCGCAGACGCCTTCGCGGTGCCCGCGGGGACCCCCGAGGCATGAGGGACCCCCGAGGCCTGAGGGACCCCCGAGGCATGGGGGACCCCTGAGGGCTGAGGGACCCTCGAGGCGTGAGGGACCCTCGAGGCCTGAGGGACCCCCGAGGCCTGAGGGATCCCCGAGGCGTGAGGGACCCTCGAGGCATGGGGGACCCCTGAGGGCTGAGGGACCCCCGAGGCATGGGGGACCCCCGAGGCATGGGGGACCCCCGAGGGCTGAGAGACCCTCGAGGCATGATGGACCCCCAAGGCATGAGGGACCCTCGAGGCATGGGGGACCCCCAAGGAATGAGGGACCCCTGAAGCCTCAGGACCCCTGAGGCCTGAGGGACCCCCGAGGCCTGAGGGACCCCCAAGGCCTGAGGGACCCCTGAGGCATGCAGGACCCCTGAGGCCTGAGGGACCCCCCCGAGCTCATCTTTGGGTGTGCTGTACCTCAAAGCTGGGGGACAGTGGGGCGAGTCCCCCTGGGGGGGACAGGGGCCCCCCACGCCTGCACCCCTGTGTCCGTGTGTCCCCCCCGTCCCCTTCCCCTCAGTGCTGGTGTTTATTTATTCGAGCTCCCAATAAAGCACGGCAGGGTCTCCACTGGGGGTTTATTCCTCGTGTCACCGGGGTCCCCCCGGGCCCTCTCAGGTGTCGGGGTCCCCCCGGGCCCCCTCAGGTGTTGGGGTCCCCCCGGACCCCCTCAGGTGTCGGGGTCCCCCTCGGGCTGGAAGGTGTCCTCGCGCCACAGCGTCACCTGGCCCTGCGTGGCCACCAGCAGGCAGGGCAGGCTGGGGTGGAAGGCCAAGGACTGCACCACGCCCTGGCCCACGGGCAGGCTGAGCGCCAGCGAACCCTGGGGGGACACGGGGGGGGTCAGGGGAGGGTCGGGAGTGTCCCCAAACCCCCCCTCGGGACCCTCCCTCACCTCCACCAGGTCCCAGAAGTAGACGTGGCCGTCCTCGGAGGCGCAGCCCACGTGCGTGTCCAGCTCGTTCAGGACGCAGTCCAGCCTGTACGTGGTGCTGCGGTGCCCCGTGTACCTGGGGAGGGGACGGGGCTGAGCCGGGGGTCCCCCAAGACCCCCCGGGGGGCGCAGGGACTCGGGGGGGGGCCCGTACTCGCCCAGCAGCTCGCCGGTGTCCTTGTCCAGCAGCCGCAGCGTGGAGTCCAGGCTGGCGGCCAGCACGCACTGCCCGTCCTTGCTGAAGCACACGCTGGTGATGGGGCCTGGGGGGGCACGAGGGGAGTTTGGGGGGTCCCGCGGGGTCCCCCCAAGCTTTGGGGGCCCTCCCGCAGGCCCCACTCACTGCCGATGTAGTCGGAGCTGAGCTGCCCCGTGCGGAGGTCGTAGCGCCGCACCCGCCCGTCCACGGAGCTGCGGGGAGGGAAGGGCAGGTTTAGGGGGTCCCCCCAATCCTGGGGGTGTCCCTGTGCCGGGGGGGCTCGTTCCTCACCCCGTCAGGATCTCGTGGGCTGAGAGCTTCACGCTGGAGATGCCGTCCTTGGCCTCGTCCAGCACCTGGATGGGGTCGGGGCGGCGGGAGCGGCAGTCCCAGCAGCGCACCGTGGAGTCGATGGAGCCTGGGGGAAAAGGGGGGTTCAGGGGGGAATAAAGGGGGATCGGGGGGGGAAAAGGGGGTGCAGAGAGAAAAAAATGGGGATCAGGGTGGGAAAAGGGGGTGCAGGGGTGTCCCGGGGCTTGCAGGGTGCCCCCCAAAGCACTCCCTCACCGGACACAATGACCGTGGCTTCCTCGTTGAACTGGACGCAGTTTACCTTCTGTGGGAGAAGCAGGCAATCGGGACGTCGATCTGCACGCAAGATCCCAAATCCCCCTCCCCAAATCCCACCCCCAGACCCTCAACTCCCCCCGCCGGCCCCTCCTCACCCCGGCGTGTCCCCGGTACTTGCGGACCACCTGCCCCGTGCTCACGTCCCAGAGCGCCACGGCCTTGTCGGCGCCGCCGGAGCAGATCTGGCTGTTGTCGAAGGATCTGCGGGGGGGTCCCGTGAGGCGGAGGGGGTTCCCCGCGGTGGGGAGGGGTCCCCGAAGCCCCTCCTTACCCCGCGGCGTCCAGCACCTCGTAGCCGTGGCCCTGGTAGGTGCGCAGGGCTGTGCCCTTGTGCGGGTTCCAGAGCTTCAGCGTCTTGTCGCTGCCGCACGTCAGGCAGTAATTCCCGTCCGCTGCGGGGGCGAACGGCCGTGACCACCGGGACCCCCTGCCCGTGACACCGGGGGACCCCCGGCACCCCCTGTCCCTGATACAGGGTGATCACCGGGACCCCCTGCCCGGGATACCGGGGGATCCCCGGGACCTCCTGCCCGTGACACCGGGGGATCCCCAGCCCCCCCTGCCCGTGATACAGGGTGATCACCGGGACCCCCTGCCCGTGACACGGAGAGATCACCGGGACGCCGTGCCCCGGATCCGGGGGATCCCCGGGACCCTCTGCCCGTGACACCGGGGAATCCCCAGTACCCTCACACCGAACACGGGGGGATCCTCCGGACCCCCTGCCCCGGACACGGGGGATCCCCGGCACCCCCTGCCCGTGACACCGGGGAATCCCCAGTACCCTCACACCGAACACGGGGGGATCCTCCGGACCCCCTGCCCCGGATCTGGGGGATCCCCGGCACCCCCTGCCCGTGACACGGGGGGATCCCCGAGACCCTCACACCGAACACGGGGGGATCCCCGAACCCCCTGCCCCGGACACGGGGGATCCCCGGCACCCCCTGCCCGGATTCGGGGGGATCCCCGAGACCCTCACACCGAACACGGGGGGATCCCCGAACCCCCTGCCCCGGACACGGGGGATCCCCGGGACCCCCGCACCGGCACTCCCCGCCCGGTTCCCAACCTCCATCCCCGGCTCCTGCTCTCTTCCGCCCGGTATCCCCGGTCTCACCGTTGAAGCGGGCGGCCCGCACCGCTCCCTGCCCGCACTGCAGGCTCTGCACCCGCTGCCGGGGCAGCTCGGGCCGGGCGGGCCGCGGCCTCGGGAACGCCATGGCGGGACCGGAGCCGGCAGCGGGGGCGGAACGGGGGCGGGCAGCGGGGCCGGGCTCCTTCCGGCGGCGGCGGCGGCGGAAGAGGCGGCGGTGGCGGCGGGGCCATGGCGGACCCGCGGAGACCCGGCAAGGTGGCCAGGTGGGACGGCGGGCAGCGGGAGAGGAGGGAGCGGCAGAGCCGGGCGGAGATCCGCGGGGCTCCCGGTGCCGCGGCCCGCCTGACGGAGCCCCGTTTTCCGCCAGGTACAAGCCCCCGGCCACCGAGACCAACCCGGCGCTGGAAGACCCGACCCCCGACTACATGAACCTGCTGGGGATGGTGTTCAGCATGTGCGGGCTCATGCTCAAGGTGCGCACCGGCATCGGTACCGGGATGGGCACCGGGATCGGCCCCGGGATGGGCACCGGGATCGGCCCCGGGATGGGCACCGGGATCGGCCCCGGGATGGGCACCGGGATCGGCACCGGGATGGGCACCGGGATCGGCACCGGGATGGGCACCGGGATCGGTAGCGGGATGGGCACCGGGATCGGTACCGGGATCGGCACCGGGATCGGCACCGGGATCGGCACCGGGTTCGGTACCGCGATCGGCACCGGGATCGGCACCGGGATCGGGAATGGGATCGGCACCGGGACTGGGATCGGTACCGGCAGTGGGATCGGTACCGGTACCGGGATCAGCGCCGGGATCCGGCTTGGTTTGGGATTTAGGACCGAGTTCAGGCTCGGGCTCGAGATCGGCGAGCTCCAGGCCCGGGCCTGGGCCCGCCCCGTCCTCCCCCGCCTCCATGAGCACACCTGGGCGCAGGTGCGCGCCGGTTAATGCGCATGCGCGGCTCCGGTTACCCCGGCAACCGGCGATGCGCGTTGTCCATTGCGCATGCGCCAGTGACTGAGCGTCCTCCGTTGCCGAGCAACGTGCGAGTCATCAGCGGGACGTTGCTGCGCATGCGTCGTGGCTCCTCCCGTTGCTTGGCAACGGCGGAAGCATCATGGCCCCCCCCCTCCGAAATTTTCCAAATTTTCACGGCGCGTTTTCCGTGGGAAACAGCGGGAAAAACGGCACCGGGAGAAATCCTCCCGCTCCTTCCCGCTGGGATCCGGGAGATGGGGACGGGGCTGGAGTGAGGGGAGGGGCTGGGATGGAATTCCCAGAGAATTCCCAGAGAATCCCGGGCAGTGTCCAAGGAAAGGCTGGAGCACCCCGGGATCGGGGCGGGAGTGGGATGGGATTTTAAATCCTTGGATGCCATCCAAGTTATACCGGGATTCTGGGATTGAGGACGCTCAGGATGCATCCAGAGAGATTTTTATGGAATTGGGGGAAGGAAAAGGGAAGGGAGACCCTTCCTGGAGTCCCAGATTCCCAGGGAATTCCCAAAATTCCTTCTCCAGGAGGAGTCGGGATGGGGATGGATCCAAAGCCAGGCTGGCGGGATGGGCACCGGGATCGGCACCGGGATGGGCACCGGGATGGGCACCGGGATGGGCACCGGGATCGGCACCGGGATGGGCACCGGGATGGGCACCGGGATGGGCACCGGGATCGGCACCGGGATGGGCACCGGGATGGGCACCGGGATCGGCACCGGGATCGGCACCGGGATGGGCACCGGGATCGGCACCGGGATCGGCACCGGGATGGGCACCGGGATGGGCACCGGGATGGGCACCGGGATCGGCACCGGGATCGGCCCCGGGATGGGCACCGGGATCGGCCCCGGGATTGGCCCCGGGATCGGCCCCGGGATCGGCACCGGGATCGGCCCCGGGATGGGCACCGGGCGCCGTTCTGAGGGGAATTCGGGGGAGGGAGGATCAGAGAGAGCCCCTGAGGGGCTCGGGGCCATCCCCGGGGGTCTCTGGGCTCTCCGGGGGTCTCAGGCGTCATCCCTGCCAGTCCCCCGGGGGTCTCACGGTGCTGTCCCGGGGGTCTCCCGGGGGTCTCACGGCGCTGTCCCTGGGGTCCCCCGGGGGTCTCACGGCGCTGTCCCGGGGGTCCCCAGCTCAAGTGGTGTGCCTGGATCGCCGTTTACTGCTCCTTCATCAGCTTCGCCAACTCGCGCAGCTCCGAGGACACCAAGCAGATGATGAGCAGCTTCATGTGAGTGCCGGGGGGTCCCGGGGTGGGGGTCCCGGGCCGTGTCTGGGGGTCTCTGACCTTTGTGTGTGCCCCTCGCAGGCTCTCCATCTCGGCCGTGGTCATGTCCTACCTGCAGAACCCCCAGCCCATGTCCCCGCCGTGGTGACGGGGATGGGGGGGTCCTCGTGGGGGCAATAAAAGGGGGTCCTGGCACTGCTGCGGTTTGTTTGTACCTGAACAGGGCAAGGGGGAGCCCCCCGGGAGAGGGGGGAACGGGGAGGGGGAGTCCTGGGGGGCTTCAGGGGGAGCCGGAGGGTCTGAGGGGACTCTGGGGGGAGTTGTGGGTGCTGAAGGGGTTCTGAGTGGGCTCGGCTGGTCTTAGGGGGCTCTGAGGGGGCTCTGAGGGTCTGAGGGGGCTCTGAGAGGATTTGGGAGGTCTGAGGGGGCTCTGAGAGGATTTGGGAAGTCTGAGGAGCTCTGAGCAGGGTCTGAGGGGACTCTGAGGGGACTTGGAGGCTCTGAAGGGACTCTGAGGGGATTCGGGAGGTCTGAAGGGGCTCTGAGGGTCTGAGGGGGCTCTGAGGGTCTGAGCGGGCTCTGAGGGGACTTTGAGGCGATTTGGGAGGTCTGAGGGGGCTCTGAGGGGTTTCAGGAGGTCTGAAGGGGCTCTGAGGGGGCTCTGTGGGGATTCGGGAGGTCTGAGGGGGCTCTGTGGGGATTCAGGAGGTCTGAAGGGGTTCTGAGAGGGATTGAGGAGGCTCTGAGGAGCTCTGAGCAGGGTCTGAAGGGACTTTGAGGGGATTCGGGAGGTCTGAGGGGGCTCTGAGGAGCTCTGAGGGTCTGAGGGGGCTCTGAGGGGGACTCGTCGTGGGCGGGGCCTCGGGAGCCGCCACTGTTCATTGGCCGCTGGTCGTTTCCCGCCGTTGCAAACGCCTCTCCCAGAGAGCTGTCAATCACGCCCTCTCCTCCTCCTCATTGGCTCCCGCTTGTTGTCGGTCCCGTGCTGCCCTCCTTACACTCCTCCCCTTAGAGCAGCATCAGCGAATCAGAACGCGGGGCGTGGCTTCAGCCCCTTTTCCCGGCCACCCATTGGCTGCGGCATACAAGGGGGCGGGGCGACCCCGCCTGTCATGTGAGGGCGCGGTCACGTGAGCGCCGCTGTCATGGCGGTGCCCGGAGCGGCGGCGCTGCCGCTGCTGCTGCTCCTGAGCGGGGCGGCCGCGGGCTGCGGGTACCAGGTGGGACCGGGAGCCCCGGACAGACGGACTGGGAGCACTGGGATTGCCCGGGGACATTGGGGCGGGCGGTGGGGACGGGATAACGGGAGCTGCGGTAGGCTGGGGACACCGGGAAGGGCTGAGGGGGGGCAGCGGGGCGAGGGAACGGGAACTGGGAGAACCGGGTGGGGCTGAGGAAACGGGAACTGGCGGTGACGTGGCAGGGGGGCACTGAGTGACACCTGTGGCTGCACTTTGTCACTTTGGGTTTGTCACGTGGCACTTTGTGCGTGTCCCCTCCGGGGGCCAGCACCCCCCAGGGCCACCTGCAGATGTCCCCAAGGTGCCACTGTGGCCTCACCCTGGGTTTTGGGGTCACCCGTGCCCCCCCATCTCGAGTATCCCCCAGCCCTGCCCTGGGGTTTTGGGGTCACCCGCTGTCCCCCGTGTCCCCATCCCAGGTTTGGGGTGACCCAGTGCCCCTGTGTCCCCACCCCAGGGTTTTGGGGTCACCCGGTGCTCCTGTGCCCTCACCCCCGGGTTTTTGGGGTGACCTAGTGCCCCCCTGCCCCCACCGTCGGATTTTGGGCTCATGCTATGCCCCCACCCCAGGGTTTTTGGGGTGATCCGGGGTTTTTGGGCTCACCTGGTGCCCCCCATGCCCCCACCCAAGGTTCCGGGCTCACAGTGCCCCCCATGCCCCCACCCCAGAGTTTTGGGGTGATCTGGTTTTTGGGTGCTCCGGGTTTCGGGGTGCCCCGTGTTCTGGGCTCACAGTGCCCCCCATGCCCCCACCCCGGGGTTTTGGGGTGCCCGGGGTTTCGGGGTGCCCGGGGCTCGGGGCTCACGGTGCCCCTGTGTCCCCACCCCAGGGTTTTGGGGTGACCCGGGTTTTGGGCTCACCGGTGCCCCTGTGTCCCCACTCTGGGGTTTTTGGGGTGCCCGGTTCCGGGGTGCCCGGGGCTCACGGTGCCCCCCGTACCCCCATCCCGGGGTTTTTGGGGTGCCCCGGTTTCGGGGTGTCCGGGGTTTTTGGGGTGCCCGGTTCCGGGGTGCCCGGGGCTCACGGTGCCCCCCGTACCCCCATCCCGGTGTTTTTGGGGTGCCCCGGTTTCGGGGTGTCCGGGGTTTCAGGGTGCCCGGGGTTTCGGGGTGCCCGGGGTTTAGGGGTGTCCCGGTTTCGGGTGCCCGGGGTTTCGTGGTGCCCCGGTTTCGGGGTGCCCCGGGGTTTCAGGGTGCCCCGGTTTCAGGGTGCCCGGGGTTTCGGGGCGCCCCGGGGTTTCGGGGTGCCCGGTCCCGGGGCGCCCGGGGCTCACGGCGCCCGTGCCCGCAGTGCGGAACCGGGAGCAGCACGCGGGCGTGCAGTACATCCTGGACTCGGTGGTGGCCCAGCTGGCCGCCGAGCCCTCCCGGCGCTTCGTCTACGCCGAGGTGGCGTTCCTGGCACGGTGGTGGCGGCAGCAGGGCCCGGCCACGCGCAGGCTGCTCAGGGAGCTGGTGCAGCAGGGTACGGGGCACGGGGGGCACTGGGAGGGACACTGGGAGGCACTGGGAGGAACTTGGGGGCACTGGGAGGGACATTGAGGGTCCTGGGGGCACTGGGAGGGACTGGGAGGGTCCTGGGGGCACTGGGAGGGACTGGGAGGGTCCTGGGGGCACTGGGAGGGACTGGGAGGGTCCTGGGGGCACTGGGAGGGACTGGGAGGGTCCTGGGGGCACTGGGAGGGACTGGGAGGGTCCTGGGGGCACTGGGAGGGACTGGGAGGGTCCTGGGGGCACTGGGAGGGACATTGGGGGACTGGGAGAGACATTGGGGGGACTGGGAGCAACTGGGGGTCATTGAAAGGGTCATTGGGGGTACTGGGAGGGACATTGGTGGCACTGGGATTTTGGGGTGCTGTGGGCGCCCCTTGAGGTGATTTTGGGGGCTCAGAATCCCCCCGTGATGGGATTTTGGGGTGCTGTAGGTGTCCCCCCCAAGGTGATCTTGGGGCTCTGTCCCCCCCGAGGTGATTTTGGGGCGCTGTCCCCCCAGGGCGGCTGGAGCTGGTCGGGGGGGGCTGGTGCATGAACGACGAGGCCGCGGCTCACTACGGGGGGGCCCTGCAGCAGCTGGGGGGATTTTGGGGTGCTGTGACCCCCCCGGGATGATTTTGGGGCGCTGTAGCCAGGGCGGCTGGAGCTGGTCGGGGGGGGCTGGTGCATGAACGACGAAGCTGCAGCTCACTACGGGGGGGCCCTGCAGCAGCTGGCCCTGGGCCGGCGCTTCCTGCGCCGCCTCTTCGGGGGCTGCGGCGCGCCGCGCGTGGCCTGGCAGATCGACCCCTTCGGGCACGCCCGCGAGCTGGCCGCCACCTTCGCCCAGGTGGGGCACCCCGGCACCCCGGCCTGGGGAGCCCCGGGGCTTCCCAAACCTTCCCAGAGCTTCCCAAACCTTCTCCTGCATCCCCGGAGCTTCCTGAGCATCCCCAAACCTTCCCCTGCATCCCCAGAGCTTCCCAAACCTTCCCGTGCATCCCTGGAGTTTCCTGGTGCATCTCCGGAGCTTCCTGAGCATCCCCAAACTTCCCCAGGGTATCCCCAAACCTTCCCCTGCATCCCCGGAGCTTCCTGAGCATCCCCAAACCTTCCCCTGCATCCCCAGAGCTTCCCAAACCTTCTCCTGCATCCCTGGAGCTTCCTGAGCATCCCCAAACTTCCCCAGGGTATCACCAAACCTTCCCCTGCATCCCCAAAGCTTCCTGAGCATCCCCAAACCTCCCCGGGCATCCCCGGAGCTTCCTGGGTATCCCCAAACCTTCCCCTGCATCCCCAAAGCTTCCTCAGCATCCCGAAACCTCCCCGGGCATCCCCGGAGCTTCCTGGGTATCCCCAAACCTTCCCCTGCATCCCCAAAGCTTCCTCAGCATCCCGAAACCTCCCCGGGCATCCCCGGAGCTTCCTGGGTATCCCCAAACCTTCCCCTGCATCCCCAAAGCTTCCTCAGCATCCCGAAACCTCCCCGGGCATCCCCGGAGCTTCCTGGGTATCCCCAAACCTTCCCCTGCATCCCCAAAGCTTCCTCAGCATCCCGAAACCTCCCCGGGCATCCCCGGAGCTTCCTGGGTATCCCCAAACCTTCCCCTGCATCCCCAAAGCTTCCTCAGCATCCCGAAACCTCCCCGGGCATCCCCGGAGCTTCCTGGGTATCCCCAAACCTTTCCCTGCATCCCCAAACCTTCCCGTGCATCCCTGGAGTTTCCTGGGCATCTCAAACCTCCCCGGGGCATCCCCAAACCTTCTCTTCCCCAAAGCTTCCTCAGCATCCCGAAACCTCCCCGGGCAAACCTTCTCCGGCATCCCCAGAGCTTCTCCTACATCCCCAAACCTTTTCCTGCATCCCCAAACCTCCCCAGAGCTTCCCAAACCTTCTCCGGCATCCCCAGAGCTTCTCCTACATCCCCAAACCTTTTCCTACATCCCCAAACCTCCCCAGAGCTTGCCAAACCTTCCTCTGCATCCCCGGAGCTTCCTGGGTATCCCCAGACCTTCTCCTGCATCCCCAAACCTCCCCGGGCATCCCCAGAGCTCCCCAAACCTTCTCCTGCATCCCCGGAACTTCCTGAGCATCCCCAAACCTTCTCCTGCATCCCCAAACCTCCCCAGAGCTTCCCAAACCTTGTCCTGCATCCCCGGAGCTTCCTGGGTATCCCCAGAGCTTCCAGTGCATCCCCAAACCTTCCCAAATCTTCCCCTGCACCCCCAAACCTTCTCCTGAATCCCCGGAGCTTCCAGTGCATCCCCAGACTTTCCCCTCCAGCCCCAAATCAGCCTCGGGATCCCCACATCACCCTTGGGGTCCCCAAACCTTCTCCTGCACCCCAAAACCCTCCTTGGTACTCTCAACCTTCTCAGCATTGGCATTCCCAACGACCCCTCCCAGTGACCCCCCCCGTGCCCCCCAGATGGGCTCTGCTGGGCTGTTCCTGGGGCTTTGGGGACCCCCCTCACCCCCTGCCCCCCATTGCC